AACAGAGAGCTCCCTGGTGTCCAAATGTGTGTGCACATACACGAGAGATTACCACAATGTGTCTGAGCACAGAATGCATCTCTGTCTCTTTATGTGCATGTTGTGGGGGGTAGGGGGAGACGCTGCCTGGGAAAGCTCACATGGGAAGATTTGGGGGTCTGTCTGATGAGACACCAGATCCCTGTGGATTCAGCACTGTAGTGTCACAAAAGAACTGTGTGGGCCCCAGAGCAAAGCTGACAGCTCTTTACCCACTGGGTCAAAATATGCAGGAACTACCCCGCTCCCTGAGAGAGCAAGCAAGCTATGAGCCTGAATCCCTACCAGTCGGGGAAGCACGATGTAGGAGCCAATAGCCAGCAGGATCACCACGCAGGCTGTAATGAAGTAGCCAAAGGCACTGTCTTCAAGCGGTGATCCAGCTAGCAGCACAGATTAGAGAGAGGGGAGAAGCAACAACAGGGGTTATTGGGGAAAGTAACAACAGGAGAGAGATCACCAGTCCCCACTCCCATCACCACTCCTCACCGGTGTCCCGATAGGCAGGAACAGGGCCAGGTCTCCCAGGACAGTAGACCTGAAGGAGCTTCCCAAGATCCCAAGCGCCCCCTATGGGGGTCACCCACCCCCAAGAGAACAAGCCCAAGGTGAGGGCTCTTCCCTTAAACAGCTATAGTGGCCAACTCCGAGCAGATGAAGGTGCACCAGGGCTCCTTCTCCAGCTTTCAGACACAGGGTCTGGTCTGCAGCAGAGGAGGCAGGCATCAGGTGAGCCCTGAAAGGGGCCACAATGCCTTAGTGGAGAGGGAGTTACTCACTGGCAATGGCGCAGATCATGGCCAGAGCTGCAAAGGTCCCTGCCAGCCCCTGCCCACTCATGATGGGTGCTGTATAGCTAGCAGGCAGGAGCCCTGCCAATCCAAAGAGGCTACCTTGGAGGATGGCACCAAAGGCTGCAAGGACAGAGACATTCAGAAATTAGGAGATAGGTAGGGGAGACAAGATGGTGCCCCTCCCCCATCCCTGTTGGGAGGCCAGATGGAGAGCTCATGCTGTGGCCTGGCCAGGGCTCTGCCCTGCTGCCTACACCCCTGGCAGAGGGGTGGTCATGAACTCTAGTACCAGGAGGTGAAATGTAGGCATGGGATCCTGCAGCAACAGTGCGCTTTGGTCTTTCCTAGGGCAATAGAGGTGGGGACAGTGGAGTGGGGCATGTGCCCCTGTCCCCTTTTCCTGTGTGGCCATCTGCCCTGACACCAGCAGCATCCAGGATTCCCTAGGCCCCACTTACAGTTGATAAGGATGATCTTGACCATGGTGACAATGAAGAAAGGGAGTGGCTCCATGGGTATCTTCACTAGGACAGCAGTCATCAGGAAGACCAGCCCGATGACAACCAGGCTGCCCAGGATGCGGACTTGCTGGGGGATCCTACAGGGCAGGACAGAACAGCACCTCAGGGGGGAGAGCCCAGCCCCATGAGGGGCCTGGGAGATGGGGAAAGAGGATACTCTAAAGGGAACCAGCTCACAAGAGAGGAGTTGGGTGGGTCTCATTCCTGCCTTGAACAAGGTCAAGATGTTCAAGATGGAGGGAGTGAGGCCAAAAACCAAGTTCTGCCTTCAGGGTCGAGAGAACGCCTGGAGTGGCCTGGGCGAGTGCTGGGGCCCTGGCTCACCTCTGGTGGAGAAAGGAGTTGAGGCAGGTGAAGATGAGCAGAGGCAACATGGCACAGAGGGTCATGAAGTTGTTGAACTTGGCCTGAAGGTAGGTGCGAGGCAAGTTTATGCCCGTGCCGTTCACCTCACTGAGGCGGTCCACAGCAGTGGTGTTCTGGGCATCACTGAGGCGGGTGCTGAAATACTGCAAAAGGAAGGGGCCCAGTGACTGCATCCCACCGATTAGGGATCTCAAGAATTCCCATGAGCAATTCATGCGTGTGCTGTATTCCCCTCTTCCCACCTCGTGTGCACACACACTATAAGCTTTTCTTAAGGATGCACACATACACAGCAGCCATTTTTCCTTCCCAAATACAAAAGGGACCATGCACACGTGCCACACGAGTCCCCACTCCCCATTCTACAACATGCACCCATCACTCACAGGCCTGTTCCCTCCCTACAGACATACAGCCACATACACCACCCTAGCCCTAGCACTGAGATCCTAACCTGCGTGGCTGTCATGAAGAAGTTCCATGGCAGCAACGTTCCCAGGCCCAGCATGAAGAAGATCAGCCAGACACCTTTGTACCTGTGGGTGACAGAGAGATGGGGACAGTCACCACATGTTCCGAGCAGGGGCAGCTGGGGCAGGGCAGACGGAACAATGGTCACCAACACCACTCTCTAAATTACCCCATGGCAGAAGCCAGAGAAATAGGAAACAGGCACCAAACTGTGAATGACCTTCAAGCCTGGACACAGAAGCAAAAAGGGGCTGAGCTATTAGAGAGCAGGGAGATCAGCCTGCTCCAGCATAGTGAGTTACAGCCAGCTTCCACTCCCACAGCTCTGCTGATGCCCCTTACTCCTGCCTGCACTCATCTCCCCCACTGGGCTCTCCTGAGTAGATGATAAATAATATTTTTTATACCTCAGGACATTGCAGGATGGTGCTGCCTAAGCTTCCCTCACAGGGCACAAAGTCATATGTTTGGTTCCTAGACAGCCCCTGCTGGACTCTGCAGTACAATGTGTCCCTTATCAGCACCCATGTCACCAGAGTTGAGGTTCCTAGGTCCGTGGGGGCTTTGGACCATGCTCAGAGCTCCAGGGACTGGATTGTGAAGTACCAGTAACAAAGGTTTGAAGCCCAAGCATTCAGCTACAACTTCTCGGTGTGGGTAACCATTCTGATTTTAGAGAGGCTGACTCCCTCCAGCAAGTGCTCATCACTTGCAGCAAGTGCTCATCACTTCTGAAAAATCAGGTACTAAATCAACTATCAGGGCACGTGCAAAGTCAGTGGCTCTCCTGTAGATCTAAGCCTCATTGGGGTGAAAGGGGCTGAAGGAGTCCCGAGTCCCCCTCTAACCTAGTGCTCCTTAGGAGGGGAAATGCCTGAGAGACCAACTTGGATGTACTGGTGTTTGGAAAAAGAGCCTGGAGCCACGAACACCAGAGGCTCCAAGCTCCATACCCATCCTTTGTTTCCCCCTGCCCCACGAACCAGAGGGGATGTGTCAGGCTCCTTACGAATTGCATCAGGCTGAGAGTGATGCAGAGGCGAGAGCAGAGATCCTGGTTGTACGAAAGGGGTTGCAGGGACAGGGAGATGGGTTTGACCCCACAGGGCCATGGGTTTAGAGCCATGGGAGTTTGTCTCTTCTTCCTGCCAACTCTAAGCAAGTGAACTGCTCTGGGACCTCAGGGATTTTCCAGTAGGTTATGAAAGGGAGAGGGTGTTGGGAAGGGGTGCGTGAAAAAGGGTTGCTCTCTCCTAGGCATGAGGCAACTAGATGCATGCTAGCAGCTGCCAGATATGGAAAACAGTAAAGTCTCCTAGTAAGTTTCCCAGTGAGCACTATTTACGGCCCATCTGCTTTGGAAAAATATGACACAGGAAGGAAGGAAACCCATTAATGGGACACAGCTTTTTTGGTAATGGTACAAGCAGACACTGGGCTCCACAAGGTGGCACCCGGCGAGGCAGATTCATCTCTGATGGTCCTGGATGCTGGTATCCTGTACCAGGATCTGACAAGACTGGGCAGCCAAGTCTCCCAGATCTCATGATTAGGAGATCACACCCTGGCCACGAGGGGGCAAGATCTGCAGTGCAGGGCAGCAGGGTTCCCAGGTTCAGGGACAGTGCTAGCTCCTGCTGTCCCAGCTCCAAGGATTGCCAGGATCATGCCAGGCTGCAGGGAAGGGGTCATCTCCAGCCTGGCTCCCATGCTGCAGCTCTGGTGGAAGGAGTAGCTTAGCGGCAGTCCCTCTAAGAGAAGGTGCTGCTTCTGTGCACGCTCACAGCCTGCTTCCCCCCTGGGGCCCTGGCCATACCTGTCCTGAGGGCCATCTTTTGCCGTCATGGTGCCCAGTGGGAGTTGGTGTGGCTTGGCAGCTTTCAGCAAGTCTCACTCCTTCCCTCGGTTGCTTTATTCCTGCAAATCCAAACCAAAACAGAGACGTTGTTGAGGAGCTGTAACTGCAGGAGTCAGGGCAGCGCTGTGTTCTCAGAGCCCAGGGGTGCCACAGAGCAAGCCCCGGTGAGGGTTCCCAGGACAGGAATCAGCATGGAAAACAAACACCCATGGATTTGCCTCTGAGCTTCTGCTCAGAGTCCTCGCAAACCAGAGGATGAGTCACTTCAGAAGAACATGGACATAAGGCCTAGGAGGGAGAAGCTGTGTGCCCCCCAAGACACAAGGCAGAGCCCTTCCCTCCTGCAGGGAGGCCCAGCCCTTACATGGGCCTTCTCCCCGCCAGGGCCTAGCAGGGTTTTGCCCACAGAGTTTGCATGTTGTGCCTTCTGCACAGCGTGCGATTTGGGCCGGTTAGGTCAGCCAGGATTCCAGCTCTTCCATGGCAAGCTCCGAGGAGATACCAGCCTTGTAACTAGGGACCCTGCCTTCCCCACAGATATGCTACACCTGTGCCCCACTGATCCATACAGCACTTGGGGTCTACATGAAACCAGCCTTGCCCATCGATCCCCCACAACCCTGTGCTCCCCTTAGGCCTGTGGGAACTTTGGAGAGTGGCTGCAGGGCAGGGGACACTCCCTTCTTGCTTTCCCCACCAAACAGCCACATAACCTTCTCCAGCTCTGTGCCTTCCTACCCAGGCAACCACAGGGCCAGAAAGGCCTCACTCTATCTTCCCCCACGACTTCTTGCAAGCTCTCACTGTCCTTTCCCAATGCACCCCCCTGCCTGCAGCAGTGCTTTCAGGAAGGTGATATACCCCAGCTTCGCACGAGGGTAGACCCATCTGCTAAGTCCCAGGGCTCCCTCCGCTCACCCCCCACTGAACTGAGAATGTACCGTCTACCCCTTTCCCACACCCCCTTCTGCCCTGCTACAATTCTCACCCCCAAGAATATGGCCTCTTCTGCCCCGTCATTGCTACAGCGCCTTCAGGAAGGTCTAGCTACTGCAGAGACTCAACCACTGCTGAGCTCCACATGTCTGGGGAAGCAGGATGCTCTGAACACAGACCAATGCCCCTCTTAGAGGCTGCGGATCTGCTGTCCCCGGAGCTGTAAGAGCCCTCGCTTGGGCCCTGCATGAGCTTGGCCTGCTCCTGCTTTGGGAGCCTATTTGCTCCTCACATGTCTTCATCCAGCCCAGGGTGCCCAGGTTCAGCTTGCATGAGGTGGGAGGCAGCTCCCAGCAGGCAGCACAGCCAGTGGATCCTGTAGTGCCTGCCAGGAGTTGGTCTCCGCAGGTCTCACCAGGAACTGGTACTGTCTCCATGGTGCATGCAGTCTTGGCACCCCATCTTAGCTACTTCCCCTCTCCAGATCCACTCTGGACAGAGGCAAAGGCAGGTAACGTGGTCCCCTCCACAGGCAGTGGGAGCACCGCATAGCTCCTTGCACATCCCACCTCCTCCTCCCCTGCCCAGTGCAGAAACAGGTCCCATACTACGCGTCTGGCTCCCTACACAATGTCCTGGTCCCTGCTGGCTCCCCGGCTTGGGCAGTTGCTGCTTCTGGCGAGGTGGGGAGGGGAGGGGAGAAGGAAGGAAGAAGGGAAGAGAGAGAGAATTCTCTCCTAGCAGCTGGGCAATTGCCCTTAGCAGCCAGCTGACACCATGAAGCGCGAGACATTCAATTCCCCTCATCTCAGCACTGCCGCAAGTGAGACTGCTGCTGCCCCTCTTCAATTGGACCCCTCCTGCTTCCACTCTCAGCAAGGCGGACTGTACAGTGAGACCCCAGGCAAAGGCCAGGAAGGGAATACAGCTCCTACAATGCGGAGGCAGCTAGGTGAACCCCAGCAGGACTGAAACCAAACCCCAAGAAATCCCTTGGGAAGCTCCCAAGCTGAAAGACCTGCCTCTGCTCCGCTCTCAGTTCCCCTGCCATGGCAGCAACCCAGAGGGGCCAGCAGGGACACAGCACCCACATGCCTAACTGGGGTAAGTGGAGCCACCTCAGCTCCAGCAGCTGGTCCCAGCCCTGAGCCCGTTCAGCAAGGAAATGGATCTGGGGGTGGTGGGAGCGTGCATTCCCCTCCCACTGCGGGGTGGGTGCCAGGGCCCTGCCAAAGTCACAGGGGCTGCCGAGGGGACTGCAGCAGTGGATGCCAGCATCTGCGTCGCCACCACCGACGTAGTGTCGGGTGCCACCTCTGGCAAGCTGCCCAGGTCACGCTGCCCAGACGCCGGCTTGCAGTGCCAAGGGAAATGAGGGATTTCATGGAGGTGATGGTGTGCAAGCAGGAGCAGAGGTTGCCAGCTCAGGGATTACACAGCAATGGCAGAGGCTGAAGTGGGCCAGGAAGGATCAGGAGCAGGGGGGTTGCAGGCGCTCAAACGGTTCTCTCTGCTTTTAAGCAAGACAAGCCAGGCACTCCCTTTGCAAGGGCTGCAAGCCTCCCCACCACACGCATTAAGATCTACCACCCCAATGCTGAAATCTCAGCCCCCTCCCAGGGCTTCAGAGGGGGAGTAATTCCACCTGCCCCCCACCTCCTTGTGCTTCTCATAGGGAGATGCCAAGCCCCACACTCCTACCCACTCTGCTGGGTCTCTCCCTTTGCTAAATGCCTCCAATTCCTTCCACAGCTGGTTGGGAGACTGCCATCATACACCCTGTACAGCTGCATCTTGCTAAAACCTTGTAGGCAGCCGCCAGCTCTCTCAAACAACCAAACTATAACCAACCAATGTGTGCAGCTGTGGGTGACTTTACAAGTACCCGTTGGGAGTGCCCCTGCCCTAATAAAGCAGGTGTAACCAATTCCACACAAACAACCCCCACCCACCTGCTGGTGGGCAGTCAGTCACCCAGGTAAACTTGGTTCTCTCTCACAGGACAAGGGTACCTGCCTTTGCCTTCCAATACTCATTTGACACCAGAGGTCAGCATGCATCTTGAGGCCATAACATGACAGCCCTGTGATGCTGCTGGAGGGGAAGGGAATGACATGGCATCCCCAACTTGTAAGCCATCCAAACTGCTCCTGGTTTTGGCCCCTGCTGCAGGGACTGCCTCTGATAAACTGCATGGCCCACTCAGGGCCTCAGGCCAATCAGGACAGCACTGACTTCCTATGGTCCATGTCTAGACCCTGAGGCTCCTAGATAATGGCCATCAAGAACAATGCTACATCAAAATGATCAATTCTTCCTCAGAGTCAAGCATAACAAAACTGGGGTGGGTCCGGACGCTTCCCCAGACCTGACTACATGCCTTATCTCCAGATAGGCTTCCACAAATCTAAGGCCCTTCTGGATAGATTTGGGAACATCCGGGCAGAGAGAGCCAACCTGAAGGGAACCCCATGCCAGGTTGACTTAAGGGCAGGTGGAGGGGTGTGTAACTTGGCTGTATATCAAACGCTGTTGTGTTATATTCTGCCTGAAGTTTTACACTCATACCTGGTTTCTATTTGAACTATAATATTGCTGCTTGTGTGTATGGGGTGTTCCACAAGACTGTACGTACTGCCAGCTCTGACACCCTCCTTCACCCCAGTGACTCTGGGCGGGCCCAGTCCTGGCTAATGCAGACTTCTGTAGTTAGCCTCCCGTGTTTTTCCACCCGCACAAGACGCCACATGCACGTGCCCAGGTATGCATGTGCGGCAGCTGTAAGCACATTTGCATACGTGAGTGAGGTTTCATGTGTGTCTCCGTTCCTGGAACAAAGACAAAAGCCTTATGTAAACAGTTCCCATCAAAGGCCCAATGATGTTTCCTGGCTTCCGCTCTCCTCCTTCCTTCGCTCCGTTTTCATGAAAAGAAGCTGTGGCACTCCTCGGTGTGGCACATGCTGCTCACCCGAGGTCAGAATCCTTGAGAGCCCTGCAGCTTTTTTCCCCAGAAAAGCCTGAGCTGGAGGCTGTAACCCACACCAAGGAGGAGTGGGACATGGGGAATGTCTGGAGGGCCAGTGTCTCTGCTTGACTATTTCCCAAAGGCTTCTCCACATGACACGGCCAACTGGACATCAAGGCAGACTTTTACAAGCAGCAGTACTTCAGGCTCCTCCACCCTGCAGAAGGATCTCAGACAGGGGAAGCACATTAGTACCTGCTTCTCAAGTCCCACAAAGCTGCTGGCAAAGCTAAGGCTCTCCAGCCAAACATGCTCCCCCTAGCACTGTCCATATCCATGATTATAACTCCACCTTGGTTTAGCACAAGAGGTACAAAATTGCCCTGGCCTGAGAGCGTGTCACAACCCTGACACTTCAAAGGCAAAAGGGACACAAACCCAGCTGTTCTCATCTTTGCTCCCTGCAGATGTTCTCATGAGCCCTCTACTGTCCCCCTGTGACTTCCCTGGGATGCAATGCAAAAAAAAATAAAATTGCGCCTTATCTGTCCAAGCACCAGCAGGCTCTGTACTATTTCATCTGCCACATGTCTTGTGGGAAGCAACAGTGGTGGCACTCTGGGACTGGAGTTATCTGCTACAGCCACTTGCACTGTCTACCTGCAATGTCACTGACCCAATCTGCACCGCTCAAGATCACAATCGCCAGGCAGAAATACCTACTTGGTCTACGCAACCCGCAGCAAGGAAGGGCGCTTCCCTTTATGTCTCCCAGTCTTGTCCAGGTCTCCAAGCAGCATGTGTTCCTCCGGATTTACAGTGATGGAGGAAAAGACACAGGCCCTTTTAGCACTGTTATTACATGGAGGATATGCACTGATCTAGTGCTGCTACAACTGAGTGCCTGAAGGAGAGCAGAGGCTCTGGCACTCAGAAGGTGGGCAAAGGGAGTTGCACAGAGGGGCTTGGGGTTTGCAGCAGGTGCAGCAACTAAGGGCTGGGCATAAGTTAAACTGGAATGGAAAGGTTTGCTTCATCTCACCATCCCCTCAGTTTCCTTAGCATGGAAACTATGCTCCTCTCGCACACCCACTCAGTGCCAGCCACATGCACTCACTTCCACCTGCTCCCAACAGACAGCATAGGCTACAATCCC